TTCCTTTTTCTTTGTCCTCTGTTCAAGAAGATCCACTTATTTCCCCTCTCTCCTCCCACTACTGTAAGACTTAAAATAATGTGGATTTGATTATTTTATGATAAAAAACAGCACTCAAATTATTTAATTGTGTTTCATGTGCATTTTGTGCAATCTTTTCAAAACTCAAGAGAGACACACATAATTCTTATATGAATACATATGTAGACAGATATTGTATCAATTAGTGCATAATTAATGGATAATACGTGTTTGTAATTTATTGTTTCTAAAACACTTTGTGTCCATGTGTTGTTAAAATATGGCTGTGAACAATACTAGTGTAGTGCAGTTTAAATATCCTATCTTACCAACTGGCAACAGTTTGTCTCGTTTGCGAAACAAAATCAGATGTTGCCAGTGATTTCCAGTGTCCTCCATGGGTCTTGAATTGGGGCCCATCCTGTTCCTCATTTACATGCTCCCCTCTGAGTCAGATCATGCAGCATTCAGTCATTGACTTCACAGCTATGCAGATGACATGCAGCTGTACTGTATATTAACACCAAACCTGACGTGTCCACCACCTTGGAAAATGTAGACAGCTGTCTGGAGGAGATCAGGATTGGGATCAGCCAAAAATTTCCCATGCTTAATAGTGCCAAAACAGAGGCCATGCTGTTTGTAACACTTGATCAGATCACCACCACAATTAGCTGCAGTCCCATCATTGCTGGAAATATTATTCCACTATCTTCAGGGGTCAGCAATTTGGGTGTGAAGTTTGATGCTTCTCTCCAATTCTCAGATTATGTTACAAGCATCAATAAATCTTCATATTTACATGTGAAAAATATCTCCCGGTTGTCTCTCAATTTTGCAGACATGAAAAGTTAATTTATGTCTTCTTTTCATCTTGCCTGGGCTATTGTAACTCTCTTCTTTGTGGTCTGCCATCAAGCACATTAATTAAATTACTTCTCCAGAACACCACTGCCAGGGTATTCATCAGAGCAAGGAAGTCAGACCATAACCCCCTTGTTCTAGCAAAACTTAATTGGCTCCCACTCCATAAGAGAGTGGATTTTAAACTATTGGTCCTGATTTTTCAGGCTTCAGTCTATCTCGCCGACTTTTTTCGTTTTCATACTTCACCCCAGACATTAAGATCTGGTCAATTTATTCTGCTGCAGATCCCCAGAACCAAACTATATACGGAGGTTTTCCATCACTGCTCCTTACCTCCTTTGAATACTCTCCTTGATCATCCCAGACAAACAGTTTCATGTGAAAAAAGAGATCTTAAAACCCTTCTCCACCAGCAAGTCTGTCAATTTCCAGTATCATGAACTTTCTGATTTCCTATCTTTTTCTTCTTAGTAATTTTAAGTTAATTGACTTCCCTTTTAGCCTTTTTATGTAAAACACATGAAAATCACTGTAATGAACTACAAATACAAATGTAATTTAAATACAAAACTGTTATTATTATTATTATTGTTGTTATTATTGTTATTGTTATTGGTTGATGGTGGCGGTAGTGATGATGGTGATACTGGATTTTCAATTTCAGAGATTGGGAAAATAAAGTACAGTTCAGGTCAATTAGCAATTAGCAGATAGATCTTTGGCTAGATGGGCTGAAGGGAATTAATTTGTACATACAGTAAATTAACTGTACATAATATTGTATATACTGTGTAACATTGTATTTTATCGTATGTTTTACCACACATGGTTGCTGTAATGCAAAATCTTAGTATTTTCGATTTTTTTTATTTTAAATACTTGGAATATTTGGCCATTTACTCTGACTATGAACACCTTCTGGACTGGTCCATTTTGAATGGCAAGTTTAAAACTCATTCATTAAAACATTGAACCCCCTTAAAATCTGTAGTCAACTTGAATTGGCCAGGCGAAAAGCATGGTAATATGGAAAAAGTATGCAGGTACAATAGTGAGCACAACATTTGCTGTTAATTGCTAAGGAGATCACCAATACCCAAAATGGAAGATCAACTAGTCCCGGTTATGTGCTAGGATTTTTAGGATTCTGTTTAGTATAAAGGGTAGAGATGAATACCTCTTCTCTTAGTAAGAATTATCATAGAGTGCAGAGTTAGTCATGAGACAGAATGCATCTCAATAAATATACTCCCATGATAATCTGGCAGTGGTTTGTGCTGATCTCAATCTAATTAGGTCAGTTCTGTTTTTGTGTGATTCTGATATACAGTATGATGATGATTTAGCTTTTAGTTTTTTCTGAAGTTTTTATAAGCTGTCGGGCTATAACCTTCACTCGGGGAAGCAGACTGAAAGTGAATAGTTGTTTGTAAAATGCCCGGATTACTTTATATACAAAATACATGTAGTTGACATTAAGGAACAAATAATAGGTTTATTCCATGCTAAAAAAAAAGAAGAAAGAAAACAGCCACGACCACTCTAATCTCTCCATCTGTGTTCTCAAAGATGGTTTTCTGAACTCATACATCAGAAAGACTACCGAAACCAAACGTATCCTGCAGCTAGGATCACACATTCCCCCTTCTCTTAACGACAGACTACTCTTCTTCTAAATTTTCTCCATTCATAGGAGGTTTCATTTCACACCTCTCTACACCTATTCTGACTTCACACCTCCTGACTGGCCGCTCTTTCTGTCCCCTGCTCCCGCCTCCCGCTCCTCCTCTCTCCCAGCCTTTGTTCTCCTGCTACATTACCTTTGCCTACTGCCTTGTCTCTCTCACACCTGGAGAAGGCTCCACGGCTGAAACATTGTGTTTTCTATCTTCTTTTTTTCAGCATGGAATAAACCTTTTACTTGTTCCATTGCAGCCTACGCATGCTGACGCAGCTACCCACCTGAACTACTTGACATTATGCTGCATTTTTATATGTGATCACTTACCCCTTCAGTCATTGCTCACTTTTAATTCAGGGCTTCCCCATTAAAAAGTAGTAGAAAAATCTTCCATTTTTAAACTATGTACAGTACGCTGATGGTACCTTAGTTTAAGACTAGGTTTAAAGGTTTTCTTTTACCCCTAAATGCTTGCGATACATAAAATTGTTGGAATAATAGGGACTTATTTTGTTTAATGCATACTTAATGCACAATGATTTAATATTATTTATAGAAAAAATACCACAATTAATCACATTATCTAATAAAGCAAGAAAGACATTTGGTTGAAAATGTGACCACGCAAAGTCTGAGTCAGCTTAAACTTAATAAAACACTAAAACCACCTCTTTATCTTATTACTGCAGTCTGCCCAGAAGTGCAGCATAATCAGCGCAGCAAATTTCTAACATTCATAATTAAAGCTACCCTCATGTCCTAACAATGCTGCAGATTTCTAAAACATTTCTCCCACAAGCAAGAGACATTAATTGAGTTCATTTTGGGGTAGGAGGAAAAACAGCTTGCATAGATGAGAAACGAAAACATAAAAGTAAAATCCGCATTCAGATCTTAATAACAGTTTTTTTTTAAATATGCACAGAATGTCTGTGAATTCATGCAGAATAACAGTGTCTGCTTTAGTTTTTCCAAAAAGACATATTTTTAGTCCAAATTGTGAAATGCTTACCTGTAAACAGTGCCAGGAGTTAATGTCAGTCAATTATAAGGTAGAGAGGGCAATTATGGCATATCTGTTGAAACATAATGCTAAGTAAAAGGCTTGAGAGATTTAGACAAGCCCTCGATAGAAAAATGTTTTAGGTTTTACCCTGAAGGCAAAAATTGATTCACAGGGGGGACTTGTCCTTGAATGTTTGTTGTAAATGAAAATGAAAATCATAAAAAGTGTATTTCCATTATGTTGGTTTTGTATACAACACACGAGTAAACAAGAAAGTACTCCGCTATTATACAGTATATATATATATCAAGCAAGCAGTCATACCACCCTGAATCTCACAACTGATAGCCCACTGAAGTACAGTACAGTAGGTCGAAAGCCTGGTCAGTACCTGGATGGGAGACCTCCTGGGAAAGCCAATGTTGCTGCTGGAAGAGGTGTTAGTGGGGCCAGCAGGGGGCGCTCACCCTGCTGTCTGTGTGGGTCCTAATGCCACAGTATAGTGACGGGGACACTATACTGTAAGAAGGTGCCGTCCTTCGGATGAGACATAAAACCGAGGTCCTGACTCTGCATGGTCATTACAAATCTATAGAGTATTCGTGGCAAAATATGGAAGTAGAATGCCAGGCCTTTCTTCCACGCAGATAGTACTAGTGCTGTTGCTGTTGTCATGGAAACGTGATCCTCCGCCACCAACACCGACCCATACTGCTGCTGCCCAATATGGGTTTTATGGAAAGGTAGCCAGAGCTTATTTGGAGTTGAAAAAAGAAACACTATGTTTTTCACTGGAATGAAAAGCCGTGAAACTCAGTCGTCAAATTTACCTGTATGTTCACAAACATATAATGATTAAAATTTAAATTAGTTATTGTTGAACAGTTATTAGAATTTGTCACTTAATCTGCTTAGAGATACTTTCTTTTCAGACTGCACACAGAATATTTTGCTTTTAATACTTAAAATAAACCTTACTTCTTGCTGAATCTTCTGCTTTCTCATGCTCCTCTTTAAGATATACTTCTGTTCCTAATGTACTGTATGCCCTAATGTGGAAAGGACACTTTGTTGTTTGTCATGTCATATGTTATGAGTTATGAGTATCTGCTATAGTATGTCTGAATTATTTATTACATTACCTCGCAACCTGTAACCTCTGGGGGATTGTTTTAATAGCACAGACTGGCTTTCAAAAAACTCAAGTCTATTTCGGAGTGTATTAGGGTTTTTCAATGTCTCAAATCTAGTGTCGGATGTTGGATGTAACATCCCACAGTAGATTTGGATGCAGGAGGAAGGACATACTGAGCTCCAGTACTCCCTACAATTGTAAAGATTTGTTTTACAGTACATGTTGTTTATAGTTTTATGGAATTGAAAACATGAAATTAAAGAAAGCACACAACCTCAATCAACATGCCCTTACTTGTCAAACTGTTTTATTTCACTTTTATAAATTGCTTTTTCCCATGTTGCTGTCAAGACAAATCACTAAAAGCCCTTATTAACTCTCAACAACTTCATTTGAAAAAATATCATTGGAAGAACATTTTTTTTTCCTAGCTGTCCAATATCATGTCTTGTTACAAACCATAAGGTGAACGTAAATTCTGAAACATCAGGCGTGTGGGAGAATTGTACTTGATGTCAGTGCATGACCCTATGTTCAGAGCTCTGATCTTGCAGGCTGGGGGAAAATATATGCGTAGAAATTAAGCCTCCCATATCAAGAAAGTAAATTCACAAATAAAAGGCTAAAGATCAAATTGTAATTAGTTTTGATATTTTCAAGAATAATTAATATCTTTCTGTAATGAATTGTTGATAAGTCACTGATCACTAGTTTAAGTTGTTGTTGTTTTCAGTAGCACAGAATCAAAGCTTCATCTGAAGTGCCTATAGTATAAACGTTTTATTGGCAAGGCCTTGGAGGCAATTAATTTGTATGCATTCACATCTACCAGCATTCTACTCATAATGACCTTCACCACTTACAGTACCTGTCATAGTAATTCTTCCATTCATAGTCATCCTCATCCCCATTGTTATTTATTATGATTTGGGTCACTTGTGTGTAAAGATTACCATGAGTCAAAGAGCTCCACCCAGAAAAAGATATATTTAACTTCCTAGGAAAATAATATGAGCAGTACAAAAATGACAAACAGGAAATGTGATAGTTGCATTAAATGTGCAGGCAGCATAACCGGGCAATCTTCATCTGATAGTGCACTAGCATTCATGTCAGAGGATCATGTAACAGGGCTCATTGGGACTGAGATTGTTACATACAGTAAGATCCACTCAGTATTTCATCTATCTCCCGAGCCATTATCCGATCTCCCACATTTATCTTGAAGGATATACTGTTCATCCATCACTGGAGAAACAATTCATGTCAACTGTAACAACATAGATACAGCCTTTACCTTAGGAGATAAATCACAGCAGTCAAGCAAAGACTAAAGTCCACCCCATTGTAGCTGATGATAATTAATGTCCATCTAGACTAAGTGGCTGGAATAACTAATCAAATGGCAGATAATAGTATTTGTTTTACTCTCATTGGGATACCAATTAACAACCTTCATAATGAAATCCTGACACAAGATCCACAGTGTGAAACAGTGATGTTGTCTAAAACACATGTAGACTTAAAATGGTAAAGCCTCATAACACAGGAAGTCTGGACTGAATTTTCACAATTCATAAGTGCCTGTGGCATATCAGCATCACATGGGACTGTCAGTGTCTGAGCCTCTATGATGCCCCAAAACCAGACTACCAGGTGATGCAGTCTTTGCATTTTGTGCAACATACATTGGTTTAAATGCAACTTATTTTGTTATGGCAGATCATTTCACAGTGAGCTTAAAAAAAATAAAGAAAATATTTCACTGTGTGCTTTGATGCCCCTAAAGTGACAAAGATCTACTGATTACTGCATGATCTGATATTAAATTAGAACACAAGAAAGGGTACAAGGTTATGAGTGGAAGATCATTTGATAATCAGATTACTTGATACCAGGATCTCTTTCAGCAATTTCTTGAAAGAACACAAAATTCTAGCATTAAAAACAAGGCTGGTTTGTCTGTTCTCCCAAATTCTCCCAAAACCCAACTGTAATAATAGAGTGTGTAGATATATTACCAAATTACTAATTAAGCACATTCATTACCACTCTGTTATTAATTTATTATCATTCTGTTCTCTTTACGGTTTATGTGTTATTGATTATTCAAACAGATGAACTTAATTAGTTAAGACTTAAAGTAAAGTCTTTAGTAGACACATACAGTATACATGGCAAGAAATTGTTTGGGACCCCATGGTATCTTACCAATTGTACTTAAGAAACATGAGATGTTATACAGAAGCCACTGACAACAACTCTTCAAGATCCTTGGTTGTATCCACAGATTGGATAATTGCTAATGTAGTGTCCATCCATCACGTGGATCTCCTCTTATTTCTAACCATATTTATGTCCATGTTGATAATTTATATGAACAACCAACAACAGGAATGGATACAAACAGAATCTATGACATACAGTACAATACGTGTCCATAAAAAGATTGTCAAATTATAGGCAGTATGTGTTCATGGAACATGAACATTTGGATTGAAAAGTGTTGTAATATAAGGATCTGTACTAGGGCCACTGGTCTTCTTAATGAGTAAAGTTTAATTCCATGCTGAAAATTAGAAAGAATAAACACAAAGAAAGCACAATGAAGGTGGCAGGGGTGTAAACTATAGTAGAACAAAGGACAAAGCTGGCACAGAACAGGCAGAGAGCAGGTGGGAGAAAGCATCCAAATGAAAGGAAATCAGTACCAGAGTTAGTAAACTAGTCAAAGTTACAGATTGTACCAAATTACAAGAATTAGCAAACACAGCAGAAGAAGCAAATGAAATGCAAAGTGATTTAGATCAAATTCACAACTTGGCAAACAAGTTTTAATTTAAGCAAGCACGTGTTTTACATACAGGTAGCAAAAACATAAACTACTGTATAAATACAAAGTGGGAAACTGAGACAGAAGAGGCTAATAATGAAAATGACTTATTTGTTCATGAGGACACACCATTTACAGTACATCTGGACAATGTGGGGAGGCAATTAAATGTTAGGGTGTGTAGTCAAAAGCATATTTAATTTAAATCATGATTTGTTATGTTAAAATGATAAAATACACTAGTAAGGCCTTATTTAGAATGTTTGGTCAACATGTTATAGAAATTGGCTCTGAAATCAGTCTAGAGAAGAGAAACCAGACACATTCTGGGGCTTATAAGACTGCCCTACACTGAAAGGCTTATGGAGCTGAATCTTTTTTGTCTTTATAGAAAAGATTATGAGAAGACCTAATGCAAGTATTCATTGCCATTGTTGAGGCTGACCCCGTGCACTTTGTCAGAATGACTAGTGAAACACAAACCAGAGGATATAAGCGAAACAAAGTGCATTTAAAACCAAGAACAGGAGACTATTCTTTAGCCCAAGGGTTGTGGGAGTAAGGAACAAGCTACCCAGCCATGCTGATGAACTTTATTCAAGAGACAGCTAGATAAGATCCTTGGTTCAATTTGCTTCAACCAAATTGGTTAGATGCTGAATGCCCTCCTCTTATTTCTAACCATATTTATGTCCATTGTAATGTGCTGTAGTATTCTGTCGTATTTGCTCTATTTGACAGTGTTTGCTATCCTCTTACTGCCTTTGAACAGTTCTGAAATCTCAAACCTGTTTTCATCTGTAACTGCATCCAACATAAATAAAAGACTTTCTCTTGGATATGTGCTATTCAGTATTCTGTTACCGTTTCCATCAGCTTACAGTCTGCTGTTATAAGATGATTACAAGGATGTTTGTATGTGTAACTGATCTTTTTTTGTATCTAGAAATGCTGCCGAATGCACTGTGATTGGTATAATGATATCTGCAAAAACTCAGGTTTAAAATTATCATATGAAGTCCATAATTCACACTATAACTGTTTCAATGACAAAACTTTTCTCAACATACTGTACATCAAGCTCATGGGAATGGTTTTGATTGAATTTATATTATTTTCCACAGCAGATGGAAACGAAGCAATAGACTTCAGCTCATTTGCAATACAATGCTTGAAGCAGATGTGCACAATACAGAGGTTAGAGCTTACAGTATATCTTACTAACACAGCTCCATAACAAAAAAAAATCCAGTTAAATGTCATATATTAAGTTCTTAATATAGTGTTTAGGGATATGGGAATAATTTAAAGTTGGAAAACTATCTAACACTTAATGTATTTGTTTCAAGAATAATCCTTAAATGTACAGTAAATGTAGTAGGTATGGTCAATTATATGAACTGGGCTTTTTCACAGCATGAAAAACTTGATAATTTTCCTTTGTTAAAAGAAAAGCTGGTTTATACATAAAAGCGAAGCAAAAAGGGCAAAGACTCACATCCTAGTCTTAGGACAGGTCAGCACATTTGCCACTCAGTTTCCTAAACATGTTTGCAGCTTACTAGTGGCTTGATATCAGAAAACATGTTTAGAACATGTCCCTGTTAGTTATTTTTGCTTCACTTATAAGATGTTTTAATACATTAATAATAATAATAATTACTGTTAATGTGCTCATAACTACAGTAATGGAGAATGTTCCACAGATTGAGATATCTAGTTCTTTTTAACCAAGAGCGCTTGCTACTGACAAATAAAAACTTTGCTGCCTGTATATGAGAATAAATATACATTATATATTGTAAATAGCTTTTCATTCCTTTATTTGTGCCTGCGCTGCTCCCAGTTGGCAGCACTTGATTTTTAAAATGATCGATAAGTCTCAAAATTAATTTCAAGTCAACAGTGTCCACGTCATCCCCTTTATGCTCTGGAAAGAAATCCCCGTGTGCTGACAGCTTTCCTTCAGTGATTTCATCTATTGGGCATGTTCCCTCTTCCCAAGGACTCTGTCATGGTTATAGCGGAGGACGAAGGTGAATTGCAGCACTGTTTGGGCGAGCTGCCAGGATGTAGACGACACTCTCCTTCAGAAACTCCTGCCAGTTCACTTGCCTGACAGAGATAACGACAAAAACAGCAGAATAATTACTCTGGAGTTTGCTGGCAAAACTGTAATATTTCCTAAATTTCTATGACGTTCTGTGGTACTGTGAAAAAGCATCTCCTAAGATAAACAACTTTTTGATAGGGATTTAAAGAATATGCGAGAAAATGTAAGTCTTGGATTGTATGACACTTAAAACTGTTTGTGGCTCAGGTGGTGTCAGGCTTTTCCAGTTGTAATCTTTATCTTACACACTAACGGCTGAAAAAACAAATCCAGTTCACAGGAAAAAAGCTTTCAGAGTGGTGAGGTACACCTTGCATGGAAATGTGACTGTAAAAAGGCAGAATTTTTTTTTAAAGAATAGCATCTCAGCACAACAACCATATGTTTTACTACACTACAACTGTATTGAAATTTTGAAAGAAACGTGTAAGGAGAAAGGGAAGATGTAATGAAGCAAAGTGTTTTGGAACTGCACAGTTGAAAGAAGATCCCTCAATTTAATAGACACTTAGTACTGTTAGTCAGAGTAGGAATGAACAATGTAGTAGGATTGCCACTAAAGATGGGTATTTTTCAATTTGAAATGTATCTGTCTGGACCAGCATATACTGTACTGCAATAAAATTACTGTCTTTGAACTTGCTCTGTAAGACTGTAAAATGAAAAATTAGGCAACCCCACAAATGATCTGTTTTCAGTATTTATCAATTTGTGTTCCGTGCAGCTGTATGCATCTCAAATATTTTAACTGACTAGTTGAAAGTTTGTAACAGTATCAGATTCATTATACACACAAGTGAAAAAATCTATGTATCATGTAAGATCATGTATGGAAAAAAGCTGTAAACATTTTCCAAAAAGTTACCTGCTATCATCCTGCTCAGTAGACAGCAATGCTTTATCCCGGCTCTTTCCACTGCCTGAGCTTGCTGGGCTGCTTTCTGATATTGGACCAACATGACTAATGCTGCAAACCAGAGAGAAATAGTTTGTAATAGCCATTTATAGACATTTCCTGTCTGTTGAGTTCAAGGTGTGGTGAAAACCATGTCTTTGACAGGTTAAGGTGTGTTAATCACCTCAATGCTACTGTACTGTACTGTATATATTGTATGTTAGAAAAGCATGTGATTAAGGCATTTAAAGCATTGTTAAAGACAAAAAAGTTTGTGAAGTCACTAAATCATTTCTAATTTGGAAATAATGTACTGCAAATTTTCCACTATTTGACAGTTGCTATAAGTAACAGCAAGTTGTACTGGTTTAGATTAATACATTTCCATCTGACAGAGCTCTTCGGAAGTATTTTTTCAGGATCTAAAATAAAATTCTGGAGCAAAAATGACTCATGCTTCATATAATGTAAGGGTAAATCAGTGTGTATCAGCCAGCTGAACGGAGCATCTCCAAAGACTAATTTTGTCTAAAATACTGTATGACTTCTGAGAGAAAGTAGTTTCATTTCTCTCCCCTTATCCTAATTGGCATTAGAGCACACTTGCAGAACATCTACAGTACTTTGGTTTGGTTGACAATGTATACGATGATATGAACATAGTGTGCTGTTACCATTAGCAAGACATTGAGGTGATTGCAACATGTACAGTATTCTCTTTTTTTAAACCAACAGATTACATTAAAAAAGAAATAAGTATTGTAAATAAGTCTTTAATTGCAAAGCAAGATTCACTGCATTTCCCATCATTTCAGCCAATGCATTGATTTTAGTAATATGCTGTATATTAATATTGAGCAATCAATTTTCTAAAACAGAAATATGCAGTAGACCGTCTTCATGAATCTTAAGTAGGTTTATCTGCCTGGTATGTGAGATAATATGGAACAAGAATTTTTTTATCATAAATAGAATTTAAATCCACTGCATTTTTCTAACTACCGGAAAGACCATCATCATTCTGTTATTTGAGCCGACATTTGATACATATTTGCATCAAATCTAAATTAGATACAATATTGTGACCGTTCTACGGCACTGGAACACTACAGAAAAACAAACAACGATGGAAAATAAATATAAAGCACATCTATTTCATTCAGCAATCAGCACATAACTGGCAAGTATCACTTTCTTTAAGTCAGGAACTGTTCAGTCCTGGTCCCAGAGGCCTGGTCTGTCTGCTAGTTTTCTAGGTCTGTTTAAAGCAGCAGCACAATAAGAGCTGGGTGATCCAGTTAAGCTCTTAATTGAGACAATTTGAGACAATTTATATTATCAAGGTCTGAGCCAGAAGGGAAAATCCAGGCTTACAGACCCTCAGTTGGACAGTCTTTTATGATCTTTATATTTAAAAAGTGTTCAAGTGTTAACACATGACAATCTCCCAAATTCTGCCTTGTCAATGGTCATTACATGCAACTGAATATGAATATGAGTTTTCACTTTGTTAATATACGGTACACAGTCTAGAAAACATTGATCTAAACCATCTGAGGAGGTGGGAGGATATAATGTTTAAATGATTTAAATGAATGGGCAAAACTAAATGAGATGATACCATCAAATAAATATTCCATATCAATGGGGCTAACCCACAGTAGGCTTCTATTTAGGTATGTTGCATTAACACATTTTGAAAATTTGGAAATCATTCTGGCATTTAATAAAAGCATTTAAAAATGGCAATTTAAAAGCGCTTTTTAAATTGAATGTGCTATTCAGCTAACATTCAGCTATTCATGCAAACCTGGCAACCACTACAGTTAAATGTAGAGTTTAAAAGTGTCCAATTCAATTCTCTTTAAAAGATAAGACCAGAATGCTGCCTCTTGGTTGTGTCCGATCGTGTCCAATGCACCTTTTGGAACACATGCATTAAGAAGAATTTCTGCCAAAGCATACAACCTATATCTACATCCTTTTGGTTTCTGTGTCATTTCCATTCACAGGAATATTCTCAGCCTTTCTCTCTTTCTAAAGTAAGACAAATGCTATGATTAGAGCACAATACATCACTCAAGAAAACATTTTTAATTTTTGTAATTTTCGATAAAAATGTACAACAAATGTCTTTCCTCATGTTACCTTAACCCTATTAAATGCAAGGCAGTTTAAAGAGTTGAGGGAGATTTGTATTATTTCCAGTCACTTAAGACTGTATGTACTTATGCTGTATTTGTCCTTGAAATAAATACCAAACAAACTTCTTAATGATACTTCACAATAGTTAGATCGTTCAAGTAATGAGAGAACAAAAAAAGGCACCATATCTGAAATTCCCAGAAGATGGGTATCTCAACATACAGTACAGTAAGTGCGTCTCAAACAAAAGCCTAATGCATGGACTGTACACTGCTGCTTACCTTAAATTCAACACAGGAGAACACAATCCGACAAGTCTGTTGAGAAATGGCACACGTGGAACACAAGTGAGGCAAAAGTAAAGATGAAAAGGGAGATGACTGTACATTATGGCATGGTTTTATGACTATTTTTTCATGCTCTCTGGAGTGCATATGACAATGGAAAAGCATGCAGCTGTGCTTGAAATCCTTAACCCAGGATTTCAAATGTATTGCAGTTTTGGGAAAATGGGAATACTGGTAATACCTGCTATATATCATTTTCATGATGAATTAAAATGACCAAAGTGTATAAAAATATGTTTGCTTTGCTTTTTCAAGTGCAGTTGTATTGTACGATATTGCTTTGTTGTGACTTCTAAGAGTAGAAATTTTAGATACAGTAGGTTTAAAAGGCATACCTGTAGATGGAGAGACATTTTCATGTTCCACACAGATATTTTTATTTTTATTATTACTGTATATAATACTGTAAATAATCCCTTTATTAATAATAATAGATAAAAGAAGGCTATGTGAATAAAACAAAGTATAGAAAATAAAAATGCACATTTTATTGGTCATTAGTTTTTACTCGACATTGACCTTTTTCTTTATTTCCTCATAGTTTGCAAATTACAAACAGGAAGACAGGAAGGGCAAAGCAAAGGCTTAAAGATAAAGATGCCTTGCCTTTTTTCCCAGAATTAAATTTCCTTCACTTCAACTGAGCACTTCAAATGAAATTCAAAGTCGAGCAAAAAAAATTAAACACATGGATAATGGACGAAAAAGACAAAAAAAGTACCATCAGTCTTTTTCTTAAAACAAGTAACAAAATATACAAAATGTACAAATTTATTAAATAACAAAATCACGACTCAGCCGAAGACCAAATTGAAACTTTCTTTTAAAGAAATATCTACAGTATATTTTGTCTTCAAATTATTGAGAGATTGGGTATTAAACAGCTTCTTCTTCTTCTTCTTCTTCTTCTTCTTCTTCTTCTTCTTCTTCTTCTTCTTCTTCTTCTTCTTCTTCTTATTATTATTATTATTATGATTCCAAAAACCACTTTTTGTATGAAAATAATAAAAAATTGTGTAGTGTAGTCACAAAAATTCAGAGTGTAGTCACAAATCAGGGTGATGAGTTTAGTACAGTTCAGATGTGAAATGGTCCAAAGACAATTTTTCCTTTGGGAGATGTATTTGCTTTCTAAATAAAGTTTTCAGAACGTGTAAAAAAAGCTGGCATTTCTTTTGTAAGTACTAAAATCATTACCAACAGATATCTTTATACCACTATTCACAAGTACAGGTTTAGTAAGATGATTTATGAACCCTATAGCTCAGACATAAGTGACTGACTGTCATTTGCACTGACATTTACGGTTTGTACAGAATGATGCACACTTCCAAGGTAATGATTCTTTGTGGTCTGATGCTGAAGTGCACTGAAAGGAGCAAATGGAAAAGTTGTATTATCAGGGGATTTCTAGTCTGATGGACAAATATAAGGCTGAATGTATTGTATTAAAAGGACAACTAGGTCGAGAGTGCACAAGTTGTAAAACATTCTTAATACCCCCCAAAAATCACATGTCTGGTATTAGGTCATTATGTTTTTTTTTAGGGTAGCTTTTATAGAAACTAGCATTTTGTGATGCCTTTTGTCCTTTTGTTTCCCTTGTTTTATGGTCACCATTAAAATAAATATTTTGTAATGACAAACAAACTTTCAAACAAGAGGAGACCATTGGTTTCTGGTAGTTTGTGGACCGGAGCCACTTTTAAAGGATCTGATGTTATCTGCTTCAATAATTAGGTTATGTAGCAGTTTCCAGACATTCTTAAAAATCTTTTCACTTCCCTTTATCTCTGGGTCATGAACACACTCAATGGGCTAGCTGGGCAGAATTGCTGCCTCTTGTTTGTAAACATGTTTATAGATAACATTCAGAAACCTCCTCCATCACAGTACCTTCAGATTTTTTTCTGCTCAGTCTTAGGCAACTAGAAGATCAGTCATTTGAGACATCTGCTATATGCTTAATAATAGCTTTTTGGGGCTGTGTTCTTTTATTACAACTCAGGAACTTAGTCGTAAAGTCCTTAACAACTCAGGGTATACAATTCTGGCAATAAAGAAAACAAAAATGATGAAAATTGCAATGATTAAGTAGTACATGGCATCCTCTGGGACACCAATATTTAAAAATTAAATAAAAATCTCTGTTCCAGGCATGATAACAGTTATTAACAAGGCACCAGAGCTGGTTTTACTTGATTGAGACTATAGATACTGTATGTACAGTGTCTGCCAGAAATTAAGCTTTTTTAAAGTTTGCACAAGTTACAAGAAAAATAAAGGTTTCCAATTATTTCCTTTTCTCTCTTGATTGTTAGCATAGCACCATGTTTTAACTGCTCATTAATGTGCACAGCAACAGCAGCAACAGAGGGAGATGGAGGAGTAGAGTACAGCCAAGGTCAGGCAGGCAGTTAAACTGTGGAAAATTATTCCCTACAATCTGTAACTTAAATGCAATAACAAAAAAACACCACCAATTTGTAGGTTATAAGAAGAATATTTACAATTTCCTACTAAAGAATTTTTCAGAATGTCGTTGTAAGATAAACCAACAACTCTTTTTGAGTTGGTGACAAGCAAAAAGTGATCATTTTCTTTCATGCATTTTACATGAGTATGTAGCTACAGTAAATGTATAGATATGTATCCCTTGGGGTACTGTATATTCTTTCTGCTCTCCTAAATAATCTATAGGAATATTGATTACTACATCAATACTGCATAATAATAATAATGCATATTTATATTTCACATTGAAATTGTCAGTGATGTTTTTGTCAAAGCTCAAAATCATCAATAGAAGAAAATAAAAGGAAAAAAGAATATAAACTATTGAAGCAAGAAATCATAGCATTGCATCTTAAAAAATTTAGGTTAAATAATGGACCTTATAACCTATTCACAATATTGATTTATTTGCATTTTTTTTTAATCTTTATGTACTTCCATTTTTAAGTTCATTTTTACTGAAATGTACAGTACATAAAAAAAACAAATTCTCAATGAAATGTATAGCTCAGTACATGTAGAAATAAGGATAACATTTTTTGTAGGATCATGACGATTCAGCCTATTTGCCATATTTTAAAATGTTAATGTTACTTCAGGGTATCACTGGCTTAAAAGCACCACAAAATCTAATCATTCTAACGATGACAAGCATGCAGTAGCACGTCAGTACAAAAGTGTTTATTTTAGCAGGTGTCTTCCTACAGTGTATATATATAATATATATAAGCACTAACATAAAGGTGGTATATCCAACTACTATGCTGTAGCTTTCCAGCTACAGTACTTTCCCACACGAACAACTTCCCTCTCCCTCTTCTTCAAACAACATCTCCTTATATGTTTCTAGCTATGTCCATAGGAACAATTAGTTGAGGTAGGTTTATCTTACAGCTAATAAGTATTTATAAAATGGCCAAATTGTAATGCAATGTAATATATTGCACTGTATACAATATTTTAAAAATCTGCACAATAGCATTTTATTGCTAGGGGACTTTGAAACGGGAAGCAAATATTACTTTAATATATTAGTTTGCATAAGTGCTTGTGATAATTTTAAAGGCATTTAGACCTCTTTTTTATCTTTTGTTTTATGTTAGTTTTTAGTGTGCATCAACAAACCAATACTGGAACAAAGCAAGTTACAACTTCGTCTGGGTTGTATAGGAAGGCTTTTTATCTTATCACTTGTAGGTTTGAGCCTGCTCTGTCACAATGGGGCATTTTGGATTCATTATTGATTTGGATGTGGATTTGGATTTGGATTGATCAATCCTTTTGCTGTGTAATATTATCGAACACCGGCAGACTGTCAGAATTGTTAATACCACAGAGTGACAAGCATTACCTGACATTGCAGGACTGAGACTCCTTGGTATGCTTGCGGAACCAGGTGTGCTGCGCTTTCCGCACCTCTGTTCCTGTGATCAGCCCATCCTTATCCCGATCCAGACCCAGGAAAGTGGCTCTTGTTCGATCCTTCTCTTTCGCTGTCAGTAGTCTGATCAACGAATTCTGCGAGGGACACAAAAGGTTATGAACAAATTCCACTAAAAAAAAACTCAAATTTTTGGTTCCGACAAAAGCAGCAAGTATTGTTTTATAGTGTTATATATTTTTTTGTGATTAATAGTGCTATGAAGCACATTTCCTGGCATATAAGTGTGTCAATGTGTTTCCAGGCACATTTCCCAACACTTTTTCTTTTCCACGAAGCAGTGTCAGCGAAGATTCAGAATATTACTTTCTTTACAGTTTTATGTTACAGCAGAATTGTCTCTTTTACAGAGATTAACAGAGAAAGTAATTGTATGTAACAAAAAAAAAACCTGTAAGCATATCCTCAAGCTTTTTAAAAAATGTAGGGTTTCCTCATTGTACTTGTTTCAAAAGCTTCCTAAAAGCATGTCAAAATAAGTGAGATTTTTATTGATGAATTTATTGATAAATACAACATTCACAGCTTTCTAGAAAACTTTGTTAAGCTCCTACCTTTTTTAAAGTTTAAAGCAAAAAACAATCTCTTTACATCATTAATAGGTCATTTAGTGTGAAATAATAGTAGTTCTCATGTGTCTGAACAAAACCACCTGTGAAGTGTGAAGTGTGTTGTGAAGTTCTTGGTCAGGGAATGAAATTCAAGCAAAGATTTAAAGAAGTTAGACGTTTACAGATTGGGTTTTCAGGTTTTGAATATATTAAGTTAAAAATGTGTATTAATTGTTTTGCAATTTCACAAAATGAGACACCATACTGTAGGAAGTGTCTACAGAATACTCTTGCAATTTAATGTAATTCCTGTTAAGTTTTCACATTGGCAGCAGACACCCTGCATCGGCACTTTTTAAATCAAATATCAGTTGCTTATTATTCATTGCTAATATACTAAACAATAAATTATCTGAATCATAACTCACAGTGGATACAGTTAGTAGAGTATGGGGTAAACATAATTGTTATTAAGCACTCTTCTGTGCAATTCTGTTGTAATCCTCCAAACACGCAATGTAAAAATCCCAGTTTTAACAATATGATGACAAATATCAGGATTACGTAAGAACATACTGTACAGTATCCACTTACTGTATGCCTGTAAGATAGGTTTGTAAACCCAAATTGGTGATAAAAATAAAGACCACAGTAACACATTTTCTGACGAAACAGTACATAACTCTTCGCTTTTAAATCAAGGCGGCATTATTCAACAGAAGTTCAGGAGGTGGTCAATGGTTCTAATGATACACTTCTGCTCATATATGTATAAAAACGTCTTGGCTGCACAAAGCTGTGCATGCATCGTTTCTAGCATCCCTTCTTTCACCACATTTCCACTTGTTTATTCCTCAAAAGTGAGACAGGCTGTGATCTTCAGCCAGTGCTGTTATTTCCTCAGCTACAGATACTGTAGGTGAGGTAACGCCAAAGTATTAGGCACCGTACAGTATATATCCCTTTATGTTCGCTGGCTTCTTCTGTCATTATTAGAATTCGACCGAACTACCAAATTGAGGTTCGTGAAACCTAATAAGCATTAGAATAAAATGGGATTTGACAACTGTTGATTTAAATGGGCTGGCAGTAAACCCCCAGTGTTCCATACCTCAGACCGGAACTTCTGTAGGACCAAAAGGGACTCGTGGTAAAGGAAATCAGCCCATTCGATCGAGCCCTTCTTCTCATGGTCGAGGGCAGAGAACTGTCCCAGTACTTCCTCTTCCTGCTCATCTGACAGCTGTTTCTCAAACAGCTGCCGGGACACAAAATGCTTGTAGTGCAGGAACTCATCCGAAACGAGGCAGGACTCTGGGAAAGCCCAAAACAAAGACCGGAGGGCAAATTCAGTTTTATATAAGATTATGTGAATATAGCTAGAAATTAAAAAAAAAAGATATTTAAAAAAATGCCAGAATTTCATTTTGCTAAGTTAGTGATAATAATCTATCATTATTCGTATACATTCTACAGTAATTCTTAGTTGTTGTTTTTTCATCGAGGTAACATTGGAAAGTGCATAATAATTAAAAATAATTTGACATGTTACAATGCATACCTGGGATGATCTTGCACTGCTTGAAGGTTTCCATCAAACTGTACATCTCTTCTTCAGTCAGAAGCAGGTTGACATTATCCTGTAGCAAAAGCCAAATGTTTTTACACAGTTATTTGTTTTTACTCACAAGTCCCTCTAAAGAGCCTTGCTCAGGGGCCCAACGGAGTAGGATTCCTCTGCCGGCCATGGGATTTACACCGGTAACCTTCCAGCCACAGGTGCAGATCGTTAGCCACAGAGCCACTGCACCGCCCAAAGCAACTATTCTGGCCCATGGAGCCCTTACCAACTGAGCTCCACAGCATTAGCATTAGCACAACATTGCTTGCATTAATAATAAATGCACATGCTGTATCTAGCTGTACTGTATACTGGATATTTACCCATCAACTTTGGTTATCGTTATGAAGAGATATAAATTTGTTCCGTGGCACACAACAAGAACAAGGGCTCTGCGTGACTATGGATGAGATTAAATTTACAGGAGACACAAAAAGTGTTTAAATAGAAGATGTTGTATTAATTCTTAATGGACTGTTGGAATATATTAGTGTCTGTGAATTGATTTTGGAGGGTGGTGGTCAAATCAAAGGTTTAGCAATGAAAGTCAAAGTTAGAAATGGAGTTCAGAGGTTAAGAAGGAAGGTTACTGTACATGCTAATCTAGCACACTTCTGCTCACTGGCATATGTAAATCTCACACCCAGGTCTTCTCTTTTTATACATGTATCTCTCTCGCATCCCCCCAATTCTCATACAGACTCAATCCTTGCAATAGTGGGGGGAGTGATGGCAATCTATCCTCACAGACAGGGGATAATTCACTTAGTTAGGCAAGTCATGCCAAATATTTTATTTAAATTGTGTCTTTCTGTTGCATTCATTAGGATGTAACCAAACTACTGTACCAAATTATTTGCTGCGCTTTGGTTGTTTACAGCATTAACACAATAGTCCTATGACTATCATCACATTTTGATACATCATAAAGGTTTTAAGATAACAAATTTAATTACTTTTGAAAGTATTCTAGTGTTGATTTTACTTCTGCATGTTATCAGAAAATGTGTACATGGCAAAGAGGCATGCTGTATATAAAAAAGTAGCATGCATTAAAAAAACAGAAGAGGTTAAACTTCCTTAATGCACGGTGAAGTGATAATCTAATGTTTCACTGTTTCTTGTACTGTGTATAGGATTTTCAAATCTTTGTCATACCCAAAAGCGATAATTCTACCAGAGGATGTTCAAAAAGCTGTTCAGAAATCACACAAAATAATTAGTAGTAAATATCTCAATGAAACAAAGACCTCCTGCAACAGTGAATGGATATTAACTTAAAGTGAGCAGATTTCAAAATAAATTTAATCTAGATCTTCCACCAACTGATTGTTACTGAAAACAATCATTATGGCCCCAGTAGGCTTCTATCCTCACAACAGATGCTGGTTGGTCTTTTGCAGGGAACTTGTCTAGTACTTGCTTATTTAACTTGAAGGTTAACCCTGCTTGTGAAATGGTGTATCAGGAGACAGTGTTTCATAATCTGAAGCAGAGACAAGTGAGTGTCCCTGGAGCTAATAGAAAACTGTACAGGGTCTTAAGATGAAAGGTTATTGACTTGGGGCAGCCTGATACATTGTGTAGCCTTGTTCCTTGACTTTTTCTGCTGTTTAGCCATATTTCACTTAATGCATTGTTAAAGGTCATTAAAACCCATGCCTCAGAGAGAATCATATCCATTTATTCAATACATTTCATCCCCCGTGAATCTCATCACCCCACACCAGCTATTCCAGGCTCCAAAAATAAACATTTTACCCACGTGCTTTCAAGTATGGAGGGTCAAAGGAGAATTCTCTCTAAACAGACATTGTTCTGTGGAATGAAATTAAATCAAAAAATGTTGCAGATGTTTTGTGTAGAACCACACCTTGAAATATCAAAAATAAGCCTTCATTAGGATGGAGGGTGTTAACGAGCTTAGAAATTTGTGAAAAACACAATTTCTGTACTTTTTGTTCAGCAATACCAATATAAATCACTATTGATTTAATATGCAGTCTTATTTGGGATACAATCTTACAAGACCTTTCATAGGGCAATTCAGAAAATATATAGTCTCACATACAGATTTTAAATACAATATATAATTTATTGATATAATCAAAACATGCATAACAAACAACAAATACGATAGAATATATATCTGTCAAGCTACCTGTGGTTAACACGGAATGCTGATCATTCTCTCGGGGATTACAAAGATTGGAGTTCAGAGTTAAAATACACATTGACTACAATGTGTTGAAGTCTAGCTTGTGGGTTTTATCAGTCTCATATCACTAAATCACATTTCTATTCTCAGACAAAAGTAAATGTACATTTACTATCATGAACGAAACATCAAACATATGGTTCGAATAATTGTTGAGAATAATGTGAGTAATGAAGTTATACTCAACAATCTGTTGGCCAAATGTCCCTGATGTTTTTAAACTTCCCGCTGATAAAAAAGAGCTGAGTTTGTTCTTGGCAGCTTCTCTTTTCTAAGAGTGTTCAGATGAAGGCAGAGGAGAGCAAGAAAGAGTGTTTGCCTTGCGTTGGCTAGGCGTTTCCATTGACCTTACACAGCTCTACCAAAATAGTCTTTAAAAACAGTCTGTGCACAGTTTATCTTCTGGAGCTTTTGTTCAGAATACGATCAGATATTCTGGTTCCGAAAAAAAACAGTCCAGTTGTCTAATTTTGTTGATCAAGCAAATATACCAATGGATTCATGAACACAAGATTTCTTTGGCTTCAGGAAGAATACCTTGGGGTGAATTTTGTACTTCATTGACTCACTCTCTTGGTTTGGCTTCTTGGCGAAAAGTTCAAGTCCTGACTTGCACTACTGGCAGTCACGGAGTTGTAAAAGTCAGATAGTCGGTTTAGATGAAGAGATTTTCATGTCAGTGAGTTAACAGGCGAGAATGAACTGGGTTCCTGTTCATATGGGGTGACATCACAAGTTGGTGATTGGCTGAGATACCTTCAGGTTTGGTTCTGGCACCCACTCTACAGATCACTCATTGGTGGATCTTCCTTTGGCTTACTGGTCATACTTTAAGATCAGGTCCAGATGTGCATTCAGCTCTGTGGTAGACATCCAGACATATCCATCATGGGAGTTAAGATCATCCTGTCCTGGGGATGACTATTATCCAAAAGACAAACTTACCTTCCTAAATGCAAAGACCACTAGGTCATTTTGTGGCAGAGATCACAAAGAAGGAGACTCTTTAGCTACATGCCTGTGTTGTCACACATACAGCAGCAGGCTGCTTGGTCAAGGCACACAAAGATTATTAAAAAATCTTCGATAACACTTAATTCAAAATGAAATAATAGGCCTTGCCGCTACATTTGTAATCTACCATATATGTCCAGAAAATGCATTAGCTTTGTTAGAACTGCCTTTGAAAACAGGATAGGTGTTTATAATGTCTTATTGAAGTGCAACCTCTTAAAACACTTAATACATTAATGATGGTAATTAGTTTTGCTCTCTAAGATAAGAACTGTTGTCGCTCTGGAGATAATAGGAGTAAATGCATTAGGCTGCGTAGGCTATTTCATAGGTTAATTGAGTAATGCCTCTGCTACAAAAGTGAATTTTAAATTAAGGGATATTTTAAATTTCATAGAAAAACAAATTGCCTTTAGATGTTGTAACAACAAAATTGAATTTTCTTCTCAGAAAATAATCACAGCAAAAAAAAAATGTTGATTAATAGATGTCGCACAACACCATTATATATAAAAAAGAATTCAACCAATAAGGCTTCCAATATGAAAATGATGTTACCATTCCTGTAAAAGGCCCCTAGCTCAAGGTTTATGTTAACTTGCGTCATCTAGGTGTTTCCCTACATACTGTAGCATGGTCAACTTTTGACTTTTTGGAGATGCTGTAAAAGAATAATGGGGTGTGAATCCAAAGCAACAAAAGTAAGCAGGGTGCTGTATCTGACATGTACTCGATACAATTATACTGTATACTATAAATAGTAAAGCATTTAGTCATTTATTTATTTTCTATATATTGCGTAGTAATCACAAATAATAAAAGGCTGATGTTACTCTAGAGGGCATGCTAAAGATCAGTGAAGCCTCTGGACTTGCAACTGACAGGTTCTAGGTTTCAGTACCTGTTGAAGACACAGCTGTTGTACCCTTGAGTGAGCTTTTTTGTATCCTAGTTGCTCCAGCCCACCCAGCTGTGATTGACATCATGACCCACACTGGGGGAGAGGGGGAGCCATGTGTTTCTTAGACCCAGGATGGGTCTTGGCCTGATGAGCCATTGTGTGCCAGTATAGACTATGCCTTTGCCTTAGATGTTAGTATATAATTCACATTTCTCAAAAACAAACACTACAATGGAAACGCGAGCAAAATCCAACTCTGTTCCTTCAATGGAGTTAACAATTATTATTAAAAATTGCATTTATATGGCACTCATCAACCCAAAGCAATTTACAAATATGAAGGGACCCACTTCATCAACCACTGAAGTACAACACCCACCTAGATAATTTATGCCAGTCATTATGTGCCAGCAGCCCTACTTCACAGCATTTCAGGCAGAGAAGTGAGAAATTGTTTTACCACTTGAATAAAGGGGGAACTTGTGCGAGTCCAAAACTGAATTTTGCCAGGAGAGGAGGGATAACATCCCTTCTCTTATAGACCTTTTTAATGACCAATTAGTCAGGATCTTGGTTTAACATCTTATCTGTAGGATTTAAAAGAAATGTGGAAAGATTCATCCAGGATCTTACAGCACCTGCCTATCTCATTATATAATAGATATCTACATGAAAAAGGTCATCCAGCACTGAGAAAGAAACTTAACATTAAGCAGAACGTGTTTCATTTCAATTGCACTCATGTTAAGTACTGTAGCTGTTTTCAGTTCAATCAGGAAGATATAAGGGCAAAACATGACAGAGGCCAAGAACAGCTTTAATGTGTTGCTTTTGTGTGGTGTTTGTTTCATAATTTAAATACTTTGAAGAGAGGTACTCACATTAA